CAGCAATGCGACAACCTTACAATTAATATGAATGAGAAACTCCACATTTCAAAGCAATGAGAAAAGTCTTGGGACCACGATCCTTGTGAGGGACTAAAGAAGCAGATAATCATTTCAACAACCAAATCATCCTGGCGATACCCGGGAAAACTGTAAGCATCAGAAGTTTTTGGTATTTGCGCCCCATCCTGAGTCTCTCTCCCCTTTGACTCCAGTTCCCTCTCTCTCACGCGTAAAAGCTGTAAGAAGACGTGTTCAATACAAACACCCAGAAAACCGTACAAGTCAATAATCAATTAAGACAATCCAAGAGTAAGGAAACGTCTCGGAACCACGATCCTTGTGAGCGCCGTAGAAACACAAAAATCATTAAACATCCTAATAAACCCTGTGCGACCCTGGGAAGCAATAAAACCATAAGTTTTTGGCATTCGCGCTCGCTCCCCGGTCTCTCTCCCCTCTCCCTTCGGTTCCCTCGCTTTTCACTTTTCATTTTTAGAGCAATAGGAGAATCTTACACAGAACGACTATAATAATATTTTCTCGTTAAAGCCAGCACCATCTCGTGAGAAAAAAAGGAGTCGTCTTGGGACCACTATCCCTGTGATGGCCCTATGAACTTGCACCTCAAAAAAAGAATAACACGACAACAACATAATCTTCGTGATGCCCGTAAGGACAATACACATCACAGGTTTTTGGCGATTGCGTTCCCTCCCCGGTCTCTCTCCCCTCTCCCTCCGCCAGAGGGGTCGCTACTGCCGAAAATTTGTGATTTACACGGGGTCTCGCAGGGATATTGCAGTTCGTTTTGTTATAAGGCTTTGTTTCAGGTTTTGGAGGACCCTCCCATGGATCGTGGCCCTAATGCGTTTTCTTCTTGTTTTTGCATGTTGATTGTCTCTTGGTTTTACGTATACGTATAAGGTTTCTAATTGTTGTTGTTCCTTGCACGTATGTTTTTTTTTGAGGGGGGGGGGTATGGATTATTGTTTCAAATCTGAGGTTTCTTGTTGGTTTTGGGCAAACATATAGATTGCTTTCATTGTTTGTACCTACAGCTTGTTAGTAGAGTCCCCATACGTATGTTTCATGTAACGCTTACGTGTGCGATGTTCTGTTTGTTTTGCTTACATGTGATGTTTATGGTCTTTAGGAGCCTCGCATGCCATATCCTGCTGCTTAAAGGTTTCGAGGACCCTCACAGGGATCGTGGTCCGAGTCTTTTCCGTTCACTGGATGCTCTTATCTCTCTCTCTCTCTCTGTCGTGGTCGTTCTCTCTCTCTCTCTCGTGCTCGTTCTACCTCTCTCTATCCCTCCCTCCCTCCCTCCCTCCCTCTATCAACATCGTTCTGTCTCTCTATCGCATCTCTCCACCTCTAACCTCATTGTGCGCTGCCCTCACAAGGCGCACGCGTCTCTGGGGGGCATCCCGACTCCTAGTGCGGGCTCCGTCCCCCAGGGGGTGGGCTCACGCCGATGGGCCCTCAGGCGCGCTCATATCTTCCACAGGTGGCCTGTTTTGTACGCGTCGTGGGCCGTTTGGAAGCCACCGTGGGTGGCTCGGACCGATCGTTCGAGGAGTGCCGCCTGCGGCGCTGCAAATTGCCCGAATGATCGTTGTGAATGCGGCGCTGCTGGGTGGGGTCGTTGATAATCTAATGGCCTTCGGCCCATCCCGCCACCGCGCCCGGGTGGTGGGTCGGAGGCCTCATGGATGT